AATGTTTAATTTTACAAATTTGTTGCGACTATTTTTATAATCCTGACTCGGAACCGGCCTGACAAAATCATCAAAAACTAACCAAATTATATTATATTATGATATATATTATATTATTAATTAAATGACCAAAATACTGTGCGAATGCGAAGAATCTAACCTTTTTCTTGATTGTGCCGGTGTAAAGATTGCAATGGTAAACGCGAGATTTGTTTGCTGCTTGATCAGTTGTGCATTCTAGTATAAAATCGTGCGATATTCGGGAAAATATGGCCATAGTATAATCAGTAGTGAAAGAAGTAGAAACGTTAATTACCTTTTTCAAGTGCCATTTAGAACTTGACTGAAACAATAATAGATTCTAACAGTCATATCGTTTCAATGCGAGATGTTTAAATTTTGTCTTTGGTATAAATTCTCTTGTCTGTCACTGCATAGTTTTTATTAGTCCCCTACCAATTTACCGGAGGGGACTTTAGGTTTACCCTCCGTCCGTCTGTCCGTCCGTCTGTCCGTCCGTCCGTCTGTCAGTCCGTCAGTCCGTCCGTCCACAAAACTGGATCCCGCGATAACTTGAAAAGTACTGGAAATATTTTAATGAAACTTGATATATGGATAGATGGCAGTATGGAGATTATGCACGTCTTTTTCTTTTCTTCCTATGTTGAAAATTCTGGTTGCTATGGCAACAAATAGGCTGAAAATATTGCAAATTTTACACATAAACTGGATCCAGTTATAACGCAAAAAGTACTGGAAATATTTTTATGAAACTTGATATATGGATAGATGGCAGTATGGAGATTATGCACGTCTTTTTCTTTTCTTCCTATGTTGAAAATTCTGGTTGCTATTGCAACAAATAGACTGAAAATATGGCAATTTTTACACATAAACTGGATCCAGTGTTAACGCAAAAAGTAATAGAAATATTTTTATGAAACTTGTAATATGTGTAGATGGCAGTCTTGAGATTATACACGTCTTTTTCTTTTCTTCCTATGTTGAAAATTCTGGTTGCTATGGCAACACATAGACTGAAAATATGGCAAATTTTACACATAAACTGAATCCAGTGATAACTCAAAAAGTACTGGAAATATTTTTATGAAACTTGACATATGGGTAGATAGTCTTGAGATTATGCATGTCTTATCTGCTCTTCCTATTTTGAAAAAATATTGATTGCCTTGGCAACAAATAGGCTTAAAACATGGCAAATATAACAATATTTGTGATTAGTCAAAAAGAGCTGAAACTTTTTATGAAATTGCATCTTTAATTCCAGAGTTATCTCCTCTTTAAGAATTTTGCTTTTTAAAATGTTATGTTTTGATAACAGGGATGTTTCAAATATTAATTTTAGAGTGTCATTCAGTCCGTCTGTCTGTCTGTTCATAAAAACTTTTTCCTGTGATCACTTTTAAAGAACATTTCCAACAAATTTACTTAAAATAGAGAAAAATTTACACATTAGTGAATGGCCAATGGCCCTTCAGAATGCTGATGGGGTTCTATCCGGTAGGGGACTTATGGATTGCTTGCAATACTATGATAATTGCTTGTTTTTCATGTTTTACTGCAAAAAGCTTAATTAACTAACTTTGTCAATGTCTAAAAAAGCGTTGCATTTAATGGAAAAAAAACAACAATTTTATTACCTTATTGTTTGCATTTCCAACCGAACATACCGTTTTACCGTACCTTTTATTATTGTATTAGCTTCTTGCATAAAGCTCTTACATTTGGTGTGTAGAATTTTCTTACAATACTGAACAAAGTTTGTTCACGTTTCTAGTAGACCACCTCTAGCTGTGTTCAAATTAAAACTAGGGTAAAAATTGGTCCCACCTAGCATGGCTACGTAACATATTTTTATATGATTTACAACTATGAAATAAAGTTCGTGTGTTAACTTTCACATCCATCAAGTTTTTAATCATAGTATCAGCTGACCTAGATCTTTACCAAGTAATTAACTTTTTTATTTGGACCTAGTGCAATGAAATGTTCACAGTGTAAGATTCAGAATCAAACTTTGATATCAGTTGACTTAGATTTTAGATGTGACCTACGCAAAAGTTTCCTTTAGCCACAACCATAAAATAGCAAATAGTGACTTAAATAGCAACCAATAACTTCACTTAATACCAACTGAAGAAACTCTTGACTTTTCTGAGCTACCCTGGATCTTTGTAGCATCAATTGACTTTCCTTTTCAATCAGTGACTTCCATTGTTTTTCCATAACCAGTTACTTCCATGCAACCATTGACTTTCTTGAACAAGAGTCATAAAACTTTTTAAGAATGTTTCCGTCACTTGAATTTACGCATCTTAGTGAGGTGTCGCTTACATATCCGAGGTTAGCAAAGGCATATCCCCTGATTATTAAAATTATCATATTTAGACTTTTGTCACAGAATCACATGTTACCCCGAACAAAATGTTTCTGCTATGATCATACACTCCAGTATTAGTGCATGACTTTTGTGATAATACATCGGAATGTTTGGGTATCCATGTCCTGTGAACTTATTTTTTGTTTTTCGTTTTTTTTTGTTGTTTTTAAAAAAAAAATAAAAACGTCATTTAAGATTTACTTTAATTTATCAAATTCCACACTAGTGATTTAAAAGATATTAGAACACTATGTCGGAAATGAGACCCATTTATCTGAATGTGCATGCCATTGCTTTTCTATAATTATTTTGTATCTTAAAATAGTTTTGAACTTCTTAAAATGGTCTTTTTTAATTTTTGCAAGAATATAAATGAAATAAAAACATTTCTAGATGTTTTACTTCGTAAACAGTTAAATGTTGATAGCAGTTATGTAAAATATTTATATTATTTTAACAGTTGCATGTGGAACGTAAGTGAAACATAATTACCATAACATGGGGGATGATTTAGATAAATGAGAATTTTGTTTTGAACTAACATCCCCTACTTGCCTATTCTCAAACATAACTAGTTAACAATTGCAAGGAGGTCTGTGTAATCAATACTGGATTACAGTTTATTTAACATGTATTTTGTCATTAATACAATAGTTTTTGTTCATTATGTGACTTAAACTTAACACTAAAATAAATCTCAGTTAAGCTAGCTTTGTACATTAGGTTTTATCTAAAATTTTACAGACTCATTTACGTTGACCTGCCTGTGAAATAAAATGTACTTTGCTTCAGTGTTTTGCTATGAAGTTTATACCAAAACTACAGCAGTTTTAGACAGGCAAGACTTGTCTTAATTAGCTTTCACTTACAGTTCTTCTACAACAACACAAGCTTGGTGGCCCTTGGGAAACTAAATGAGCAGCATTGTTACCAAACCTTTGTAAAAAGGACGATGTTTGTAAAACACACACTCAATTGACCTATAATATCGCACGGTTGGTATGAATCTGAATGTCTTTATTTCGTTGAACACTTTCTACTTATGCCTTTTTAAAACTTATCATACGTTTTGGAAATCAGCTTTGGAAATCAGTTTCAGAAATTGACATATATACACATGGCAATGGATTTTTGATTTTCATTCCTTTGACTATCAAATTTATGATGCACTGAAGTGACTTCCTAGTTAAGAAGTTAAGTTTAAACATAAAGATTAAAGAAACTTATATTGCTGTGAGCTTAATAAAAATGCTTAAATGTTTTCTGATATCGATTTATTCATTTACCTTAAGCAATGGTTCAATTAAAATGGCACAATATTTTTTTAAAAGAAAATATTGTATAAAAAGTACAGTGACAACGCCGAAACTACTTCATACTTGTCATTTTTTATTTTGTTAAGTATGGAGTATTTTATCTAGGATACACTGTTTTATAGATCAGTACAACAAAGAGGCCTTTGTGTATTGTAAAGCGATATATACATAAATAATATTGAGATCATATTGGGTATCTCCCTCTTATATGTCGACATGACTCTTGGATTTCAATTAAAAGTTATGTTACTTAGTCCAGACGTCCGTTCCAAAATAAGGTCTTGGCTTTGGGAATTCAATATGCAGTAATAACTCAAGTCAAAAGTTGAAGAATCAATTATGACAATGTATCTGAATGTGTCAGTTTGGAAGAAACTGACTTGAGATATCTGACAAAACTTTATATACAGCATGGTCTCTTGTGGATTGTTAATAGATAATTACTGTCTAAAAGAAGCATCTATTTACGAATCAATTTAGAAATACTTCGTCAAATGAAGCAATATGATGTTTTATTTTCACACTTCATAAGGGTGTAAGATATTTTTCATCCTTTAAGACATATTCTCATAACTTGTATTTATTTTTTACCACCAAATGGATAAGGGGTTTGCGGTCATTAGATTTGAAGCCACCGTTTATCCCTATGTGATCGTAAGAATATACTAAATGGGTTGGAATTACTGCAGTCTTTCCGGCAGGCAAGGTTATTTTGAACCCTGGTGTATCTTTAAGTTTTAACACCCGAGGTTAGCCAAATTCACCTTTCCCGTTTCGGCGGCATAACGAAACTAATAAATTTTGGAATTTAAAGCTTTATACAATGTACTTCTTTATGTGTTGAATCAGATGCAGTAAGTCTCATACAAATGTGTAAAACTTTATCCGACGAACATAAATCCTATTATGCAGTAATAATACCTGTAATTGTGATGATGAAACGGCCATTACGTACACGGTACTTGCTATTGAAATACATGACAAAGTTTAAAGGCCTTCTATATAACCAGTTATTGAGATAAACAAAACACCGAGTTAAATCGTATGTAATGCTTTAAATTTTAAATGATCTTTTTAAGACATTTTCTATTACATTATATTTATTGAATTCCAGGCAATGTCATACATAGTTTTTTTTTCTGAATTCTTAATTTCTCATTCAAATGATAGTATCTGGACAGATTGTGTTTGCTAACTCGCTAGATATTATGAGGCTTTACTAATTATAATTTCATGCTCAGACAGATAATCGTTAAAGCTGAACTTAATAATCTGACGCTGAATACATTTTATCGCAATAAATTTATTTAAACAGTGAAATATTTATGTCATATATTTAAAGTTTATGTTTTAACATAGAAAAAATTAAATTGTGATTTTCTTCATTTGAATTCAATATGGACATAACTGCAGTGGCATATGCCTTGGGACGTGCATCTAGAACGGAGATACGAATATTATGTTATTCCTTTTCTAATTCAAGACTTTTATTGACATATACATATACGTGAAAAATGCTGCAATAATTCAGTTTATGGTTGAATATGCCTTCAGTCTGTCTTGGCACAAGTTCCCTGTATTCCTTTTGAAAATGAAGTTTCTGATTCTTGCCAAGACACCGTTGCTTCTTGTTTAGAATCTGAAATGACTGGCGCCTGGGTATATGTTCTGCTGTTCTTTTTTCTGAATGGGCTACACATTGACCATCCGATCTCTTTTACGTCGTGTCGAAATTTTTCACAATAAATATAATATATCCAAAACTTGTGACTCAAAATAACATACGTAAACACTACCACAAACGTTTTTGTAATCATCGTTTGTTCATATTCCATTTCAAGTAACTGATAAATCAGCGCTTTTAGTATAAGATCAGAAACCAAGTAAAGGACAGTCACTATACATATGATAAAAGTAGCAACCTTAAGTTCTCGGAGGGCTTTCACGTCTAGGAAGTACTTTTCCAGAAAGCTGTTCTGTTCTTCAGATTCTCGTTTTGCAGCAAGGCTTGGTATAGAAATTGTTATGCAGACAACGTTGATGACGAGTGGGATGATATCCTCAATGCAGACATTAATGATAGGCCATATATAGTCCCGGAAACTGTTGGAAAGTTCGTTTATGTACGTGCAATAAAATGCTTTTATATTTGGCTCTTCTCCTGGTTTTATTAACCCGTAGGTCCAGAAGAAATGAAGGTTTAAACTGATAAGGAGCACAGAAATAAAAAGCACAATCGCACTAGCTCTTTCTCTTGTACACATAGTATATATCCATGCTGGTTTAGTAATAGCTATAGCAGTTTCTATTCCTATGGCAACTCTGATCCATTCCGATTGACTTAATATTAAGTTATACGTAAATGTATAGACTTTGCACACTGCGTTTGAAAGAAGTAGAATATTTTCACTCAAACTGTAACCGTCTTTGTGAAGTCGATACAACCAATCGTTTCCACATTCGACATAAAGTTGTATGAGGTCCATTGGGAATATAAGTGACATATACATACACGTAGACCAAACATTGTGACTATATCTTCGCATAATGACCGTGCCTAGGATATTTCCGATCGTACCGCTGAGTAGAAAGTATGGAAAGACTATCATGTAGAAGTACTTGATGAAGTTTTCAAGAGCTGTTGGCGGTGGAGGTGAATAGTTCAAGTAGTAGTCGGCATAGAGATCATCAAGGTCGGTGCCATTGTACCCTAAATATAGAAATAATACTTTCAAGTGTATTATATAATCTAAAAACATCTAATTATATAGTAATAGTAATAGTAATATTTTATGTCCCGGAAACTAAGGGGATATTAATTATCCGTGCTCGTCAGTCACGTTGACAAGCAGTGGAATGTGAGGACATTGGTGCCCTATGGACACATTCCTAGTTTATTATATAAACACATTATTTGCTTATCACTGGCCAAGTAACTTTCTTCTATTTATCTTTCATTACGTTTCGATTTCGCATCCGATAGTTGACAGTGTGCGAATGCCCAGTGCAACTTGTAAAGATGTCTGTAGGACGTAACACAGAGAAATAGATACAATAGCTTGAAGTCCGGACAATTTGATAAATGTATCCTTTTGAGATACTGGCAATGTTTGAAATTATTTCGAAGATAATAAGAAAGTATTAAAGAACAAGTTTTCTAAAATGTTTCTTTGACTTAAACGTATTTAGTTTCTAATTTCCTTTGCTTTCACATTAATAAAAATAAAATCACGCCTGTTCATATATGTTGCTAACTATGAAAATATGCAAAAACAAGCCAATATTTTAAATATAACAAATGTTTCTGCATTTAATAGATTACTGACTGATATGAGATTATGTGAATAAAATAATACCAAAATGTGTGCTTTGAGTATGAAATGTAGATGAATAACTTTGTTCTTTTGTTCAATTGGTAGCTTTATGAAACACTTTATTTGATTCAAAACAGTAACACTGGAATGTAAAGCCATAGAGCTGTCAAAAAAACCATTTGGAATGCCATCAGTTCGTTTTACATTATTGCAGACAAGGGCCGTCAAATAACTTAAATTCAAGTGATCGAGGCACTTAGACAAGACAGTCTGTTACATACAACATCTTACAAATAAATGCACTTTTTAAAAGCCAATGAAAAGGATCTTTCTGCAAGTACACAAGCTGTAATTTTTGCGATGTTAAGACATGCATGAAGATAACTGAAGATTGATACGGAAGAAATCATTAGTCAGTAGCATCATATATAATTTTAAGCATATGAAATATCCAATGTTTTCTTTTATTTTTGTATTAACTTATAATTTAAAAGGAAATTCTCTTTTGTCTTAGACTTGTGAAATTAGTAGAAAACTGTCTCTTATGTCATGTGCACACACAAAAAGATATCCATCTGCCAATCATTGTAATCAGACACTTGTTGTATATTATTCTAACTTGCCAGATGTAAGAAGCTATTAAAGTTTGAAACTCCTTGCAAATGTGTAGAAGTATTCACTTTGAACTTATATCAGCAGGGAGCTATAAGCTCTTGATGTAATATTGATAAATCATTTCATGACTGTATTATGTCCATGTCTGGTGTATTGTGTGCTAATAATGGTATTGCTACTATTACATTTTTTTATGTATCTTAAGAATGTTTATGTGAAAATTCTCCCTTTTATTTACAAAATGATGGAACCATTATTGTCCTGCATATATTGACGATTATCTGTTTTATATAGCTTAATGTTTTTTATTTTATTATGGCAGAGGGATTTCCTTCCTGGCAGACTATAAAGATTAGGTTGATTTGATAGATGCTGTCATACTAAAAGTCTTTAATCAGAATTCACTAAATGTAGATGTTTCAAGTAAGTTCGGTGTCAGTATTATGGTACCAGAATACCGGTATATATCTTCACTGATCCATAATAATAAATAAAATTTCTACCGTTACTCTGCTGCATGTGTGTAGCAGAGTTACTCCGCTTTTAAGTAATTGCACTATCAGTATGAATGAAGAAGGTAGCCTCGACCGCCTTATAATAAATTTCAATCAGACAACAAGAAAAAAAGGTTCGGTTAACTTATAACAAATGTTGCAGTCAATAAAAATAACCTTATCCGACTGCCTATAATAATATATATCTAACAAGAACTGCCGCATAATAACTTTAATTTCTAGCATAAAAAGCCCTTTGCCGACTGCCATATAATAACTTAAATATGTAACCAAAATAATCTGATTCTTGTATTAAGAATCTGATTCCACTCTGCCAAATAAAAACTTAAATATACAACAAGAATAATCTGGTCTGACTGCCATATAATATCTTAAATGTCTGACAAAAATAACCTGGTCCGACTGCAGAAATAAATTAAATATCTATCAAAATAAGTTTGTCATTTTGCCATATAATGATGTATTTAACAAATGTAAATTGGTTCGACTGCTTTATTACAAATTAAGTATCTTACAAATTATTATTTTAGCAGCAAATGGAAAAAATAGGGGAAAAGCCACAGTCGACTGCAATGGTGTGATAGTTACTGCATATTTTATGTATTTATCACAATTTGCTAGAACAGACAGAAAGAAGACTTGGAAAGAAAATACTATAAATGCCGACTAGGAAACAAATTCTACCCTTGTTGATGAGGTTTTTCATTTAAAGATTAAGGTATCGGAATTACAGTCATCGTGGTTTCGAATTATTCAAGTTTATCAGGTGAGGTTGTTTTGACCCCTGGTGTGGCTTTAAGTTTGTTATACCCGGTATTAGCCAAAAAACATTGTTTCGGCGCCATATGACATAAATTGTATTGATGCGCCTTAAAACCATACAAAACGAAACAAAACAAATATTAAGAGTCATTTATTTTCGGAGTTAGATTATTTTGTTTGCAATTAGTTTGACTCGAATGAAGCACAATGAATGAAATATAATTGATGTTAGGGCATATAGTTTTGTAACTAGTTAGGATGATTTCTGAACATATTTAAGACAAGATGAAAGATAGTCGGTCTCCCGTGTGGCGTCAGGATGTTAGTGTAATTTCCCCATAGAAGATTAAGTTAGCTCCTCGCAGATTAAGCGATTATGCGTCGAGACATCTAAAGGTAATTTTTCATAGTTTGAACCTTTTCTTCCAATTTAATGTTACTATACGCATAATATAAGTATCTTTATTAACAACTATTTTGTCTTACTTGTTTATAGTTAGATGAAATGATAGAATGATGATAAGAAATGTTAGATATTGCACAGAAAGCTTCTTGTATCTAAATCGTTATCCGATTTGCTTGATAAATTCGTATGAAACATATTATATTATGAACTGTGTGTAATGCATTTTTAAGTCTTTATGATCAGTAATCCATTTGATGAGATAAGTTGTTAGGGGACTAATTATGCTTTGTTATGAGCAGTTTATTATACAAAATGCAAGAGTGAATTTTACCTTAAACTCTGTTTAAATAGTGAAATATTCAATCTTTCTGTTGTTATAAATTTTATTTAAAATGAAAAAGATGAATACAGGAACAAAATATCACTTCACTTTCATCAGTATTAAACGTTAACTGTTTTATGCCATGTTCGAAAGCAGTTAAGTATTTGAGTGATAAATATCTGCTCTTTACTCCCAATTTCTTTGCGAGATGTTTAATTATTGTGATTGGTTTTGACATGAAAGTCCTTAACTAACTGCACAATTCAGCATGTTTCATAATGTTTTCCTAACAAGTGCTTGTTAACTACCTTTCTAAATGTCACTTAAATTGAGACAAATTACTTTTGACTACGATTTCAAAATTTAATTGCATTTCTAAAGGGCGAGTAACCGTTAAGAAGCAGATTATTCTGAAAGTCATTTTTGCTTCATTATTTTCATTTTTTAAATTTTTTCAAACCCCATCCAATGATAGATATCACTTCAAACTAGCGACTTCTGTTTACGGTAAAAATTTGGGTACACGCTAATGTTATTTGAATTTTGTTCGTTATAGTTTTATAGGTTTTTATTATATCTTTTAATATTTGAATAATAAATATATACCATGATCCAGGTAAATATTTACTTATTCCGTGGTATATAACTTTCCACTGTTACTCTTTTACTTTTCCCGTTATGCTTGAGCTACATTTTTTTGATGAATATACATTTCACAATATCTGCAAAGCATATCGAGAAATTTACAAAATCTACATTGAAAAGGGTACCATGGGGTCGATTTTTTTTACCTGGAACGAAATGTATGCTGATTATTCAAATATTAAAAGATTCAATAATGAATACTTAGCAAAAAGAATTAGCGGTGACCAATGTTACCGTAAACAAATGTCAGGTTATCGCTAACCCTGATATTAGTTGACTATAAGTTGCAGGTTAGTTTGAATTATGCCCCCTTTTTACTGCGATTTTATTTAAATATCCAGCAATGGGAAAAGTGGAGTGTACTGTCCATAGACAGCTACGAACATAACAACCCCAAATTGCATTATTGTTTGCCTTTCAAAACGAATAGACAATATTTCTTTTGCACAGTTTATTTCTGATTAATTTCTTAATGACAGTTTTTTGTCTTCGTATTTTAATGATAAATCATTCAACCAAAACATATTCAAATATATCAATATTAAGTAAGTGTTCTGGTTATTTTAGGAAAGTTAAAGTTTCATTTCAACATGGCATATTTGTTAACCTTTGACCTTATTTTTTGGTTGGCAGCTCACTTTTTTAACATTCATAAGTTTTGAATCAGTATTGAATGTGTGAAATATCTCAAATTTCTGTGAGGCGAATTATTCCTATATTTACATACAGAGAAATATTAAAAATGTTCTGAAATTAATTTTGATTTATTGATTCATAATTGAGCCTTGAATAACTTAAGAATAAATATTGTAGAAACAAAGCATGTTTGGCTGAACGCCGCCTTGTTTATCATATTTTGTGCAAAAATGTTAAAATTTAGTCGTGCCAGAAAAGAGACATTTTTTTATGTGGCTCAAAACTATCGGTCTAAATGTTTCTTAAGGTTAAACACCCCTTTTTGGCGCCATAAAGGAAAAAAACATAACAGTCTACAAAGAACAGCTGTATGCTAAGTTACTGCACAGTTTTGGGCTGATTGACATTTTTAGGAAAGTTTGATTTTTCAAAGGCCTTAATTCAGATATAAGAAAACTCTAAATAATATGTAATATAATCCGTATTAAAAGAGTT